AATGGTATAGAATTAAAAAATAAAAAATACATATTAAAACACTACATCAGAAGATCTACAAATCTAGTAGTGACAACAGTATTTTATTTTATCAGATTGCTAACGAAAATAGAAAAAGAAAATGAATGAAGTTTGATCCTGTGAATAGTGAACATGCACTATAAGTTGAGAAGAAGAAAGTATTTTTATTGATGTAACAAATTATAAATAAAATGATTTCAAATGATACGGAGTTTTACCTCGTAAATCCTAATTTGTAATCCATTTGGATGGAGGGAGTATGGAGTATATATGTTACTTGGGATTGACTCTCACATAGTGCTTAAGATAGACAAGTTTCAATATCTTGGTTCGGTAATTCAGGCTGATGGAGAGTTAGACGGGGATGTTGGACATCGTGTTGGAGTGGCTTGGGCCAAATACCGGTTGGCTTCAGGGGTGTTGTGTGATTCGAAGATTTCACCCAAGATGAAAGGTAAGTTCTACCAGTCCGTAGTCAGACCTGCTATGTTATATGGGGCAGAGTGTTGGGTGGCTAAGAAGACTCATGTGCGTCGTCTGCATGCGGCAGAGATTCGGATGGTACGATGGATGTGTGGGAAGACAAGGTTGGATAGGATTTCGAACGAAGTTATTCGATGTCAGTTAGGCATGGCGCTGGTGGAAGATAAGCTGCGGGAAGCGTGGTTGAGATGGTTTGGTCATGTGAGACGGCGGAATGCTGACGCCCCTGTACGGAGATGCGAGAGGATTACGATTGTCGGGGATAGTAGGGGAAGGAGTAGACCTAGGAAGAATTGGAAGGAGGTGATTAGGCAGGATTTAGGACTTCTCACCCTGACTGAGGATATGGCTTTAGATAAGAACCTTTGGAGAACTAAGATTAGAATAGCTGGATAGGTGCTTCAGGGGTTTTTTGTAGTTTGTTTTGTTTGGTTGGAAATTTTTGTGTGGATAGGTGCTGGATAGGAACTAGTTTGCTGGCTAAACCGTTAAAACGAAGAAACAAAAAAGTTAGTTTAAAAACTAATTTTTATGTGGAAACTATTTATAAACCACACCTATCCTTCTCGACCGTTAAAACGAAGAAACAAAAAAATTAGTTTAAAAATAAATAGGTAAGACTTATTTATTATTTCTGGCTTATAAATAGCTTATAAATAAGATTATAAGCACAGAAAAATATGTCATCGGTTGACTAATAAGTTAAAATTTGCTTATAAACAGTTTTAATTAGCTTATAAGTACGGAGAAAACGCCCACTTAATATATCTATAAGACAAAGTGTACTCAACGATATTGGAATTTGGATGCCTTCTAAATTCGAAAAGGTTGATTTGATATCAATTGATTAGAATAGCAATTTGATTTGATTGATAAAAAGGGATTATAAGTTGACTTCTAGTTGTAGAATGTTTTAGATATTTTAATTAGTTGGACTTATTAAATTAACTGATTACATTGGCTAGTGAGAAGTTTTGTCACAACTATTTCATTAATTTATCTTATCTCTATGCATTATTAATGTGCTAGTATTGGTTGATTAAATTATTTTTCTCATTTATAGATAAATGGACAAAATAATTTTTTAAAGATTATTTAACAAATTGACCAGATTAATTAATTAGAATATTACTACAATTACTAACAACTTAGCATTTTAATTAATTAAACTTAAAATTTCAACGTAATTATTTTTTCTACATACCTACTACCCTATTTTATTTCATATCCCTAAAAGATTTAAACCGACATGATAATAATAAAAAGTGCACTTTTTAAATAACAGGACATTTTTATAAAAATCATACATAAAACTTACAACTTTCAGAGGAGCAGAATAGGAGCATATTTAGAACTGAAACTTGAAAATTTAAAACTAAACTAACTATTTTCGCCCAAGGCTTAGAGAGAGAAAGAGACTGATGGTGAATGGCGGAGAGAGCATCGCATTTATAGGAATACGGAAGTCCAGGCGCGCGCCTAGGGTTGAGGCGAGCACTTGTCCGGAGCTTGTGCTTCTGTCCAATCAGATTCTGTGCCGTTTCAAGATTTTGAATGTCACCCAGGCGAGCACTTGGACCCGGGTGCGAGCACGACCGATGCTTGGACCCTTTTTCGGCCCACATCTTGAATTTTTACCACTTTTCTCTAATCTTTTTGCTTCAAAGCCCGATTCAATATCATTTTAAATTGTTATCTTCAATTTGAAACATTTCTCTTTTACTTTGACCTTGATATGCTTGGGAAAAATAAATTTAATTTTGAACAATTTTTTTATCAAAATATTTGTTAAACTAAAATTTTAACATTAAAAATTATTTAAATTTTTCTGATTTATTTTTATTTACGCGCAAAAACGTTAAAATATGAGATATAAAATAAGACCAAAAATAGACTTATCAGTACAAAACTCAAACTTGTGAACAATTCACATGTGTGTGTGTGCGCACACACACACACACACACATATCGTTAGCCTTGGTATGCTCACTCTCTTGTTCTGATGTTAACAAATAATAAAATTGAACTAATGTTTGTTCAATTGTGTAGGAACATCAAGATCCTCTAAAACGCATTGATTGTGTCAATACGTTTGCTCACATAGAACTAGCTTAGAATTACTAATGGTTAAAGACGATTGAGTAATATCTCTAAGTTCAAGCTCAAACTTGCACACACAAAAGTTTTTGTGTATTTGTTTTACAAAATAATTTTGGTATATATTTTTTGAAAATATATATTTTTATATTTTCGAGGAAAAAAATTGAACAAGTTATAACTTTTTATATTTTTATATTTCTATGGTTTTTGAATTACTCCATTCTGATAAGTATTGAATAAGTTATGATCATTTTACCAAAATACTTTTTTCTTCTATGCAACTGAATAAACGATGGTCCATAGGTTGAACCGTTTCCTATGCACGATCGACCGTTTGGACAAAATCACGCGCTGGGTAACGACGGTCCACCAGGTGAACCCTTTGAGTGGAATGGTTGACCGTTGATCTGACCGTTGGAAAGAATATTACCGTTACCAAGAACGGTCTAGCATTTGAGCAGGAACGGTTGATAGCTTAGACCGTTCGTGGATCAAAAAAAGTTTCCACTACCTGATTTTTGCACCCCAACGATTTGATTCCTTTAATCTCGGTATTAGGACTTAATTGTGTCTTTCTAACACCTATTTTTTTTAAATCAGTCCTAATCCATTCCTTTAAATACCCAAACAAATTCAACATTTTATTCATTCTAGTTCAGCCCTTCATCATTTTTTCTTCTCTATTTTAGTGTTCATAAAATTCTTGATTTTATATTAGGCTATTTAAAGCCAATTTTCGATATATTTTTATTGAACACACTTTGAGCTTGATTCAATAGATATACACTCATATTATCTATAACAGAGTTGTAATCGTTAGAATGTATATGAATTATCACACCGACCCACTTCCTGTATTTTATATTTGAGGCGGTGTTGATTCATACTCTTCATATTCATACTCTTTGTAATCGGTCGAAAACATCCGTTGTAAAATCTTCATTGAAGAACTATTGGAGATAGTCATTGTGAAATCTCTGAAAGCGGTCGAGGAGATCCCTGAAATCCTTGTTGAGACGGTTTGTATGAATGTGTCCATTTGGTAAAGAGTGCGGTTAGGTCCATTTGTTAACAACATTAGAAGTTAACTTTAGCATTATGAAAAAGTTTTTTTCAAAGCACGTTAAATTTTAGCATTTCTAAATTTAATCTAGGTCATTAAATTTTTATTTCAAATGCTAACACTAATTGAAAATTCTATTCCCGAACATGATTATTATCACCTACTACTTCTGTCCCAAAAACTGCTTTAGTTTGAATTTAATCATAACTTTGATCGAATAAATAAAAATTATAAAGATTTGATTTATTAAATTACATCTTAAAATAAGCTAAATTGTATTAAATTAATATTGTAACGAAATATAATTTTTCATATCTTGTAATGTGAAATTTGCACTGAATGGTACTAAAACATACTCTCTCCGTCTTACAAAACATTACACATTTTGACGTATTTTTGGTCAAACAGTTGCGCGATTTGACCATAAATTAAATATAATCTAAATAAAGAAATGTTATAAAAATTTGATATATCAGAACTAAATGCTAAGATGAATCCAATTATATTAAATTTATATTATAGTTCAATATACTTTTTTCACAATTTGTAGTCAAAGTGTGTAATTTTTTGACCAAATACTATTCAAAATGAGTAATGTTTTATGGGACGGAGGGAGTTTTATGGGACGGAGGGAGTATATCTTTTTCCAATGCAGTACCTAAAACTTTTTATTTTCTAAATAATACTTGAATAATGTCCAATGACGATGTACACTTATTTTGAACAATGTCCAGTGACTGTAGATATTTACTTGGACAATGTCTAGTGGACATTGAACATTGGTACTGCATTGAAAAAATAAAACATATGATACTACATTGTTACTTTAAAGTCAAATATTTTTTTATGGGAGCAAAATGAATTAAATGATAGAAAAATCATTTGAAAATATTCATAAACTGTGATGGAAAGTTTTATAAATAATCTGGTCAAAATGAAGAAATAAAAAACCCAACTTAAAAATAAGTTATACATATTTATTTTTCTAGCTTACAAACAGCTTATAAACACATATATATATGTTATTTGTTAACTTATAAATTTAAAATTACTCATAAACAATTTTAATGAATTTATAAGTACACCAAAAAACACACTAAAACCATTTGAATTTGTTGGTGAGAAGAAGTAAAACAATAGGACAAGAAAAATGCCACACCAAAGGTGTACCCCATTTGTCCCCCACCCACTCCATTACCACAAAAATGGACAAAAATTTTAAAAAAAATTAAATAAATAAAAAGTAGATAAAAATGAATAGTGGAGAAGGGGTGAAGGACAAACAAATTTGGTGTACCCTTCATAGGACAAACACAAAACCAAAAAACAAGGCCAAAAAGTGGAGGCAATAAAAGGTGGACTCGTGGGACGGTTTCCTCGCCCTTTTTCGCACTACAAAATATACTCTCATCATCACCTCTTCTCCATCCCCCTCACTTCTCGCCTTCCTTCCACTCAATTTGCTCCCAGCCCTCCCGGCATAACCGTAGCCTCCACCGCCGCCGCCACGAACAAGGTATATTCTGCTTGATTATCAACAAAATCTCCATTTATTTATACCTTACACCACAGTTTCCTTCGAAATCGAATCCGATTTCGTACACCATTTCCGTGTCCAATCTCAATGCTCGATAGAGTTTGAATTAATCACTGGAATAATTTGAATAGATTGTTATCGCGTGCCTATGGATTTTGAAGAATTTATTGTTGATTTGGTGTAATAATAATCTGTAATTCTGTTCTACAGAGAATCATCTATGGAAATGAAAAAAGCTGCGAGGAATCTAATCTAACCTTCTCTTCTTTTGATTTTCGCATCTGTATTTGAATCTTCGATATCTTGCTCCAGACCTGAAGATTGACGGATTGCAGTGCCTCAGAAATTCACTGATTGATACGATGGAGTCATCGTCTTCGATCGGGAATCCAGATGTCAACCCTAACCGATCGCGGAAAACGCGGAGAACGATCGGCGACTCGGACCGGGATCGGCCGCAACCGACCTGCGTCGATGGGCTCAGGTGGAGGACCCAGGCTGCCCGGCAGATCTACTCGTCGAAGCTCGTGAATGCCCTCCGTCAAGTTCGCCGGAGAAATATGACGCCGCCTCCCGCCGTCGCCGGCCGCGCCATCCGGGACACGGCTTATAGAGTCCTCGCCGTCGCCGCCAAGGGAAGGACGCGCTGGAGCAGAGCAATTCTCGCCGGCCGGCTCAGTAAAAAGCACAAGAGAGCCCCAGAAAGAGCCATACCCGGCGATATCCGGTCGAAGAAGCCGGCGATTGTGCAGAGGCTGCCGCCGCTGCAAAGGAAGGCGCGCGTCCTCGGCCGGTTAGTTCCCGGTTGCCGGAAACTTCCGTTCCCGAACCTTCTAGACGAAGCTACCGATTATATTGCAGCTCTGGAGATGCAAGTGAAGGCCATGAGCGTTCTCGTCGAGCTTCTCAACGGCGCCGGAATGGGAATTTTACTGCCCAATCCCGACCTGCTCCGGCATGGCTCGGAACAGTCTCAAGGCTCGGCCGCACGTGATTTGCGCTGAGCTGTATATTCTTTTTCTTTATTTTTTATGGAAAAGATCTATATATATATATTTAAAATATTTTGTTAATATGTGAGGCCTTCATTATATTTCCGAGTATTTTCATTTTTTATTGTATACAATTCCTCTTGGCCACAATCTCTTTATTTGTTTTCCCTTTGATTTGTGGTTAACAAATCTTATTTATTGGTTTATTTATTTACTCTCTCCATCCCTAAATAGATTACAATTTTTTTTATTTCTCCTCTCGATAACTTTTATTTGTTTACGTGATTTTATTAAGTATTTAATAAAATAAAATATTCTTGTCACCTCTTTTTTTGTAGAACTTTTAATGTAATTTTTTAAAATGTAATTTTTATATCTTATTGATACACCAATTTGTAAATAAAATGATTTCAAAAAGAAGGAAATTTTACTCCGTAACCCACAATTTGTAATCAAATTAGGGACTGATGGAGTATCTATTATTGGTTGACTAATGGAACATGCCAGCAATTATCATCACGTGTTTAATGGTGCTATTCCTACATCTTTTGTAAATATTATCTTGGGTGTTTGACAAATATTGGCATCAAATTTTTGAGATATTGAAAAAAGTGCTTTTGATGCACATGCTTAGACAAACACCTCACACGAATAATTCATTTTGTTACTTTTTCTATCTAAAAATTATTTTCTCATTTACTATTCACATTGTAAAATATAATTAACATTGTTAGCATGTATTTGTTTTCTACTTAATAAATAATATAGTCATATCAATCTTGATTATGTAAATCACTAAATCCTTTAATAGTTTTAAAAAATATGTAACTTTTTATGGAAAAAAATTAAAGTAAGAGTAAAACATTAAAAATATACAAATTAAGAGTTTCATGTTTTTTTACTCCCAGGGGTTAATATGCATTTAACTTACCAATCATGACTGTACTATGTATATTATCAACAAATATAATAAATTGCACATGTACAGAGACACGTTACCAAAGTGTGAATTTCTATTTGGAAGATAAAAACATGAAACAAAATTTATACAAATTCCTTTCAACAAATAATTTACACGAATTAATACTCGCTCCATCCATAAATGAATTTCTCACGTGCTATTTTCAAGGTCAAATTTATTTACTTTATTTAATTTTTTTCATTACTCACTTCATAATATAATTTATTAAAGTCACTAAGTATTTTATAAAAATTTTATAGTCTTTAAATATATACATAGTATTTATTAAAAAATAAATTAAATAAAAATAACTTCAATTAAATCTTTTGAACTGAAATGAAAAAAAAATAATTTTTTGGATAGAGTAACACAAATAACTAGCAATCTAGCATGAACGTCTGTTTCCAAATATTTAGGCATCTAGCTAAGAAACTGTTACATGTTGGAAAAAATAAGGAGTTGAAAAAAGATAGAAAGAGTTAAAAAAAAAGAAGGTATTAGAAAATGTTGGAAAACTTCAAATGAAAAAAAATTACTCAATAAAATGATTATCCAAATACATATCTAAGAAAAGCAATTTTTTATATAAAAATATCAAAATTCATCTTTGTCTGGGATTGAAGTGTTATTTTATAAATTTTGATATTTAGTGTCATTGTATAGTCATCTAAGAAGACTTGACACGAATTAGTCGAGAGAGATATTTTTTGTTAGAATAAATTTCAACCACGAAGTTTTTAATTTCTTTTGGATTTTGACCAATCAAATTAGACATCTCGTATTTTATACTCCCTCTGTTTATTAATTTCTTTTCCACTTTCTTTTTGGGACTGTCCAAAAAATTCTTTCTCGTATCCTAGTTTGACAAAAAACTTTTAATGATTGTGTTATTATATTTTTACTTTTTATTTATACTATTCACTTTATTATATCACATTTAGAGCAATACATAAATGAGTGGGGTTCTAGTGACACTGGAAAACGATGCCACTAGCGGTGCCACTGGGTTTTTGGGGCACCTCCGGTGCTCCGTTCGTAAAATTGACGCTTCCGTACATAAATTTGTTTTTACACTTTTTTTAAGGGAAATTTTTTTTAAGCCCGAAGGAGTATTTTTTAGACAGACATGGAAAGAACATACCGAAGAGCTAAGTCATATAAGTATTGTGTCATTTGTGTGTCAAATAGGCATTTATATGTTTAGTCATTTTCATTTATCTGTACATATTTATACAGAGAAATTCCTTCAAATCAACAATATCAATGTAAGACAAATTATCTTTGGGAAATTTTATCAAACAGGTTATAGGCAACCTTGTTTAGAAGAAATATTAGAACTATAAATATTTAATATGGATCAGAACAAGCTCAAAAACAGAACAGGAATGGAAAGAGGACTTGATAATTTTATTAGTCTATAGCTACGCCAATTTATAGGCTATACAAAGCAACAAGATAGACACTACTGCATTTCCTAAAAATAAGGAAAGCCACAAAAGTGTAACTAATGACATAAGAATAGGACAATAACTGAAATGATAAACCTATTAATAAATAATGACTTTGTCAACTCACTTATTCAACATTCCTTCCCTTAAACTGAAACATCAAGTATGTTCCAGTTTAAATGAGCTCACAGACACCCAACTGTTTCCTTAACCTCTGAAAAACTGAAATCTTCAAAGGTTTTGTCATTACATCAGCAACTTGGTCTTCACTCCTGCAGTGTAGAAGCTGGATTACTCCATCTCTTGTGTAGTCCCTGAGAAAATGAAATCTGACATCTATATGTTTACTTCTTCCATNACTTATTCAACATTCCTTCCCTTAAACTGAAACATCAAGTATGTTCCAGTTTAAATGAGCTCACAGACACCCAACTGTTTCCTTAACCTCTGAAAAACTGAAATCTTCAAAGGTTTTGTCATTACATCAGCAACTTGGTCTTCACTCCTGCAGTGTAGAAGCTGGATTACTCCATCTCTTGTGTAGTCCCTGAGAAAATGAAATCTGACATCTATATGTTTACTTCTTACATGTAGTACTGGATTTTTTTGACAACTTGATAGCAGAGCTGTTATCACAAAATATAATAGAAGCTCCCTCTTGTTCAAACTGCAGCCCTTTAAGAATTCTCCTTAGCCAAACTACTTGACACGCACAACTTGTAGCAGCTACAAATTCAGCTTCAGTGCTTGACAAAGTGACAATGGGCTATTTCTTAGAAGACCATGAAACAGCCCCACTGCCGAGCATAAAAACATAGCCTGAGGTGCTCCTTCTGTCATCAATATCCCCTGCAAAATCGCTGTCAGTAAATCCAACAAAGCCAGACTTGACACCCTTCTTGTAGAACATCCCAAAATCCTTAGTTCCTTGCAAGTAACGAAGGATTCTCTTGGCAACTTGTAGGTGCATATCCGTTGGATTCTCCATATACCTAGTTATCAGACTAACAACATACATAATATCCGGCCTCGTAGCAGTTAAATACATTAAACTACCAACAATCTGCTTGTAGAGTGTGTTGTCAACCTTTTCTCCTTCTTCATCTTTGTGCAATTTCAAACCAAACTCAACTGGAGTGTCACAAGAGTTACAGTCCTGCATTTTAAACCTTTCGAGAACTTCCCTTACATATTTCTTCTGCGAAATGAAAATCCCATCTGCAGATTGGACCACTTCTAAACCCAAAAAGTAATGCATCTTTCCAAGGTCAGACATTTCAAATTCATTCATCATAGACCTCTTGAATTCATCAAACATAGAATTATCATTCCCAGTGAATATAAGATCATCAACGTATAAACAAACTATGAGCATTTTCCCATCATCTCTTAGTTTGACAAAAAGTGTATGCTCATAAGGGCATTTCTGAAAACCCGCTTTTAGAAAGTAGGTCTCAATACGACTGTACCAAGCTCGAGGAGCTTGTTTTAGTCCATAAAGAGCCTTTTTTTAACTTATAAACCTTATTTTCCTCTCCAAACTTAATGTAACCAGGAGGTTGTTCAATAAATACCTCTTCCTCCAAGTTTCCATGCAAAAAGGCTGATTTGACATCCAATTGGAAGATGGGCCAAGAATTCTGTGCTGCCAAAGCTATCACGAGTCTGATGGTGTCATGTCGTGCAACTGGTGCAAACACTTCTTTATAATCAACTCCATACTCTTGCTTATATCCCTTTGCCACCAACCTTGCCTTGTATTTGTCCACTTCACCGTTTTCCTTCAACTTTGTTTTATAGACCCATTTCACACCGATGGTCTTGCAGCCTTTGGGAAGATCTGTCAACTCCCAGGTGTCATTCTTTT